CGTAATATAAGAAGACAGCTTTAGCCTGCGCTTACAAACATCGAGCTTCGGGTTTATGTTTGAGGGGTGTGTGAGTGAATTTTTTATCTTTAAGATGACAATGTGTTAATGAAGTCCACAAGTAAGTCAGTCATACAGATTGTGGACATTCCGGTCGGATGTGTGCTACTAATATTGATGTACAACCAAGTTACTTACACTATGACACTGGTCCAATGATGTAATTATCATGTTTAGCTCGGTGGAAATGTTTGTGCTACACGAATAATGTCTTTTAGACGTTGGCGATTACACACTTAATAGGTCAAAGGTCTTGTGCACGTTTAAGTCATTCTACAAGTTTAGAGTATCTTGTGGTTTTCTTTATATCGTTGTATCACTTGTACATTTTCAGTCTTGAGTAATGGACTGTTTAGTTTCTTGTTAATTACGTCCTTTTCGGATTATCATGCCGTTAATCCCGAACTGGTCAGCTTAGTGGTGGTTTCTGGGTATCACTTAGATAAGATGAAAGTCTTTATTGTAGTTCATGGATGTAGAGTGAGAATATATTGGGAATGTTCGTCATGGTAACCAGTATTTAATCGACTGCCCGAAGGCTGTTCTTGATCCTTTAGATTTTATTCTGTACTTAAATGAATTTCTGGTTATCGTTAAGTTTCAAGTGCTGTGGACGTCAAAGCTTGACGAGAAGTAACGTAGGACACTTGTGCATTCCAGGTCGGCTTAGACGTTACAGTTAGCTGGTCTAAATATTTTCACGTGCTCAATGAATACATAAAAATAAACAGCTACTGCATTTATAATGCGTTAATGCCCTTAATTCTTTCACAATGGTTTAAGGGTTATCGTGAGCCACGATCATAAGACCACAGCCCACTGCCATGTGATTGCAGCCAACAATCCTATGGATTTTAGGGTAGACACTCACCAAGTTGGATACAAGCATGTTACAAATGTGAAACCTGCGCCCAAGCCCCTGTTCAAAATGTGACTCAGATATTGTTGAGCAATTTTGAAGCATGAAATACTTACAAATGATGTCGAGTCTGATATATCCTCTCTCCCTCTTATCAAACTAGAAAAATAATAATCAATGGTTCCAGACATCAGTTATTTTGTTGATGTTTTGTTCATAAGTGTCCAACTAGAGTCTGATTCACCATTGTAGTTGGAGGTTGTGAAACTAATTGATCAACTAACCATCGGCTGGTTAAAGAAATGTCAACTTCCCCTTCATGATGGATCTGCAGATCCAGACATATGAGGAAATCATGATTTCCTCAAGCCGATCATCTTAATCATGTAATTGTAGCATCACTGAATAATGAGTCAATTACTTTAAACCAATATATGGCAGTCTTTGTCCGTTTATTAGGGTGAATACTGCAGTTTACATTAGCAACATTCGTTCTAAACACTTAAGACTGATGTATGGATACCTTTAGGAATCTACATTAGAAAGCACGTTCCAACTAGAGGCGCACCAATGACTAGTATTTGTAGTTGTATAACACACTAATTAACTCACATCACGAAACACTAGAGCCGTTAGTAAAACTGCTTATTTGGAAGGAGTGAATCCATAATTAACCAACGTATATGTATCTAGATCTCAGCGATCAGCTGCTTTTTCTCTTGAATCCTGTGTATAACGAGTGAACTGATAACATCAGTCCTTAAAAATAACAAACTACGGTATCTCTATATGATTATGATTCTAATACGAAAGGCCAAATGAAATTCCAAAAGTGCAGCGAGATAATAATTATGACGATATGCAACTCATCATTTATCTTATACTTTGCGTGCTTGGACAAGTGTCACATCTTAAATGGGGATTAGTACCAGTATTCATTTTAATTAGACATTTCTAAGCTCTAAACTGTAGGTAAGTGCTCCAATCATTAGGTCTTCTGGGATGATCCTCCCGATTTTATGATTCCACAACAAACACCTGCTTTTTGTGTAGAGTGCCCCATTAACCAAACTATAAGGCAGTCGATCAATGAAAACTGAAATTTGTAACTCATCCAGAAAAGCATCAGTTCGATATTATGAGGTGGAAAGGGCGGTATTCATTTTTTAGTTCTGAAAAGCGAATGTACAATTTATGATAAAAACCCCTATAAATCAAATCTCGTGAAGAATTGTACGTAAATCTGATTAGTTCAGCTCTTCACCTTGGCCCTTTAAACTATCACTGTACGTATTGAAGTAATTTATTCTGAACTCGTAATTACACGATTGTGTACGTTGTCCCAAATTACCATTTCTTTACTCAACCTTGAAAACTCAGGTGTGTATTACGGGAAGTGCGATTGTGTTCTTCATATATCAGCCATAACGCTAGTTTACAAGACGAAGGTTTCATTTGTTGCTCCGTAGTTTAGATCTCCATCTTTAATAAATCACTTTGCATATGGGGTTGGTAATATCGTACTCAAGTTAAGAATTTTTACACAAATGAATGCTCTAATACACTTAATTCAAGTATTGTGTCGATGTTTTTGTAATAACATCAACAAAGCGTCTTGCCGTTGTAGATACATGTTAGGTTGGTGATAAATACTACTGGGAATTGCATTTCCTAGTGTCACGCTCAGCGGGGTCCAACACTTTACAGCAACTGGATATCCTTTATTTGGAACTAGAAGTTCATGAAACAACTAATCACAATCACAAACTGCAAGAAACTCCGTAACCTATGTGCTATATAATAATGACTACCTTAGGTCATTAATATGTGGTACGACTAGAACTGGACTGATTCCTTCTTTCGAATGAAGGGATTTTTTGGTACTAAGAATTTATTGCGTATTACTACAAACTAGTTATGTCCTATATCTTCACAAAACGTAGTCTGGAAGACGCAATTGTTCCGTCTTAAAGTATCTTAAATAGGTGTCATTCCTGATTTACACACGCCTTAAGTGGTACATAGTACGATCCAATAGTACATTCCTCCTAAATGTAGTTCTAAAGGTATTTAATTATACAAATATCAGAATTTATCGGAAAATTAAACTATACAAAAGCCTATCAATTATAGATACTGGTACTACTATAGCTATAGTTGACGTGATATTAAATAGAAAGGAAAATAATGACAAGCGTGATAAGACTGCACGACCCCATCCTTATTCGTAATTATTTATCGAGGTTTAACGACCGAATGCTTGCTTATAAGATTATTTAGAAGAAGAATAGACAAATTAGTAGTCTTCCATAGAATTTTAAACCCCGGCACACCTGCAAACGTCGATTTACTTGGGTCACTGGGTAAAAACTTTTACGTTTTGCAGAGAAACCAACCAGATATCAACAAGGTAGAGCCTGGCAAAGACAAGTATGTAGATGAGCAGTCATATCAGAGGAGATAAAAGTAACAAAAGAGATTGATAAAGAATAGTAACAATTACTGAGAGATTAAACCTCGAGAGTAAGGTTTGCAAAGATAGTTCGAAAATAGGCACTGCTCAAACAAAGGGACAGAAATGCATTCTGAAGATAATAGTAGTTGCTCAAAAACATCAAACAACTGTAGATGAAGTCAGTCAGCTACAACGTTGGACCAGGCATATATATGCATCGGCTCAAGTTGCCACACCTCATTAGCACAACAAGATGGACACTAAATTCATAGTAGTCATATCAATTGTAGTGTATAAGGATATAGTACAGGAAGGAAGAACCAGTTCGTAAAAAGAATGGTATAACGAAATTTAATTATCACGGTGTAATGGAAGACAGAGGGAATAAACACACGCCATTGTGAAAGATACTGAGTCATATCAGCCAGAGTTTCCAACCACTGGTTTCGAGTCACACGGACCACAACCAAGTAGTGTGCATCTACCAAAATGTCTAAGAATACAGGTTAGTGAACCCAGGGACTGATGCCACGTTTTGATTTGGCCGCTCCTAACATTCTCCCACGCGTCTCCAACACTAGTCAGCATTGCGCGTTGTGAAAAGGTATTCAGATATACGTAACACGTAACCAACCATCTTAGTCGATTTATAACCTCCTCGGCGGATTTACCATCATCCACTAATACCATGCGTCTAACCTCACTATCACTTGCCCAGTGATCCCGGCAGATGCGAGCAATATTTCTAAGACATTTGTGATCAAATACTAGTAACTCAAAAGTATCCTCTACTCTGAAAGGCCACGTTTCGCAGCCGTGAACGACAACAGAACGGTCTCTATTTAAATTGGATATATCTACATGTTATAAATCGATGATAAATCTAGAAAATTAGTGTGATGCCATCTCAAAGACATTAATGGTGAAATTAAACGCAAACAGGAGTTATAACACAATTTCACTATTTTGTGGATTTCCCCGAAGTCTTGGGTTGGAGAAAAACCTCAGAGTTATAAGATTTTGTGGAAATATTGGGGAAAACACTAAATACCCTCAAACATTTATGAGATTTTCACAAAACCTAGGAAATTTTTAGGCTTCTTGTGCATTTTCCTACAAGTTTCTACTGCAGCTTACTCGAAATCTACCCAGAACGGACAAACTTCTTACTTGGATTGTTTAACTAGACCTCGATCTCTTGAAAACAAACACTTTCCGGCAAAGTCGGAACTAATTCAGAATTCTACGTTAGGACACAAATTAAAATATCGAGTCTTATTAAGAAAGTCACGATTATTTAGAAACTGTTAGAAAGTTCTGACGTTTTCTGATCCACTATAAATGTGCCACAAACCCAATAACACGTATCGAGCACCTCTAAATCAATAATTGAAGCATTCATCTAACGTATCATAATTTTTTTAAAAAGATGTGGACACAAAGTTTGGGGAATTACTATGAACTGACGCCAGACTAGATAGCATGAGAAAATCGAGTAATGAAACTTTTGTCGACATAAACGTTATTCGATTAAACCTTGACTACATCATATGACTATGCATATTAGGAGCAAATCATTTAATACTGTGTATTTTTGCAACGTATGTACATTGTAATTGGCATGATTCACTCATCCACCTTCATCTTCTTCGATTTCGGTTGACCGTCCTCTGACTTTAATCCCCGCTTAATCGCCGATAATCTCGGGTTAAACTAAATAAAAGCGTTAGTGAGGTAAGTTGAACTTACAGTTCCAGCTTCTAACTGTCGAAGTCTCTTTTCCAAGTATGCTCTTGCTCGTATCCCCATTTCTGTGTCAACACCCTCTTCACCAAGAGCGTCAAGACGCGCTGATAATGATGCTTTTGCAGCTAACATTCGTGACATTTTACCCTTGAATTGATTGTCTGATTGTGTTACTAATGTGGCATGATACAATAGACCGTATTTTGGAGTGTTATGTCGTGTTTTTAATGCTCGGAATAATGCCTTCTCAGCGCCCAGTATCTGTACTGTTGAAGCAGGATGTTTAGCTAGGTTAACGAGTGTTCCTGCCCGAGCTATGAGCCTTGCACCCAAAAGTTCCCCGACGAGAGCTGTCAAATTTGGAGCTACTGCCACCATCCGCTTGATAAGATAATCGTGGAGCTGAATACGGGAGGCAGAAGCTTCAAGTACCTGATCGCACAGTTCGTTGATCATATTAATGTCTTCATCGATTACTTCTGTTCCTAGGGAGACGATAGAAGCTTCTCTTATTTGACTAGCTAGTTCATCCGGTACGAGGTCTGATAAGTCAACACTTGAATTTGTCCTATGACCTGAGGAAATGATAGAAACTAAATGACTCACCGATTCGTTTGACTACTTTGACGTATGTTACATTATCCAAAACTATCTTCGACAATTCAGGAAAATGCCACCCGTACATTTCTTTAGCACGCATTATATAGTTGTTTATTTCTTTATCTAGCTCATCCATGAGGCCTTACATAATAAAAACAATACGTGAATTTACCGACTGCCTGAACTATCATGGTATCAATTTTGTCTGGGTTACATTTCAGTTTATATCTATCAAGACTGTGAGCCAAACCCAAACGCATCCTCATCATGTGACTATCTTCAACAACAGGAAGGAGGTTATCGATATGTGTCCGGATTCCTCGCATAAGGTTTTGCACTAGAGAATCACTAACTGTTGGTATACTCATTTTTGTCTGAAACTATGTTAAAGCTGTATCCATACTTACATTAATATCCACTGACAACTTTTTATCGGCAACTGCAAGCACATCGTCTCTTAGCTCCTTGACGTACAACTTTTTCAAAAGCTTTTTCAATTTCTTAGACAATTTTCCTTCCATTATGTCCGAAGCAGCTAAAGGAAAAGATATAGCAATTAGTCTGTCCAATAAATTTCCTAATAATCAAATTGGATAACTAAACTGCAGCCCGAGGTTTCACGCACAATAATAAACGCTCTATGTCAACCTACCTACTAATGCATCCTTCGTATCCTTGAACTGGACAAAGCGCTCAAGCTGAATTCTTACTGGAGCATGAAGTATTCTCGAAAAATAAACTTACAGCTGATTCATTGTGGCTGTATCTTCGAATGCCTTAGCCAAATCGTCGATTTGACGAACACCCTTTTCATCATGGACCTTAAATACTGCATAACCTGCAGCTGTCTCGAAAAGAACCAACATATTCACGCCTCGTCTTCAAATTAGCCACTCTACGCAATATAGTTCAAAGTTTACTTAAACAACCGCTGCAATCTTAGGCTTTAATTGTTCTGACAACCAATCAAGGCCATTTTCCTATGGTTTATGATCCATTCTTGTTATATTTACAAATCGTGAAGTTTTCTATTTCGTACATTATTCTGTTTTGCCTCATTCGCAGTTTTACTGAGGTTGTCGACCATTAAAATGACTTGTATATTCTTATTTATACTAGTTTCACAATGTTAATGCTACTTTGCGCTGGACAGAATAAATCGAACCTCGTTTTACTTGAGAGGATGGTGATTAGTTGACTTTGCTATAAGTTTTCAAGTTCTCACTATCGTAAGCGGTTCAATCACTGTTCTAAGAGCTGTGCTGGTTTTTCAGTTCATTAAACAAGACAGATTTCATGACACCCGTTTTTTATATGCTCGTGATCATGGGCAGGCAATAAAAAAACGAATTATATAGAACGAAACCACAACAATTCCATTTAATAAAGCATGACTCATTATACATACAAAACTTAGCCAAAGACACAGGAAGAAAGGAGTGAACATTATACACAAGTTCATACAAAATAGTTGAGGTCATCTGTTTATAACCGAAAAGGTTGGAATGTGTGAATTACGACTCATGTAGGAGTGTCATGGTATAAACCCAAAAGTAGATAGTGTTGTAAGTTTTCAAGTTTTGATGCTGACCTAATTGGTTTTAATGGGCACATGTAGCTGAAGGGGGTAGCCCTCCAAATACATCTTCGAACTCCTTCATTTTTAACTTCTGATTTGACTGGGTTGACATACTTTGACCATAAAGTTGTTACAAGTAAAAGCGTCGTCAAACTCTGAATACTCGCGGCATCTTCAAATATGAGCAAGTCGTGGCCTGGTACACCAATTAGTAAACTGAATTTGTTCCTTGTTGAAGCGTCATACATCATTCATTACTTTTTATGTTCATCTAATGCGATATTGTTTTCATATTTTCGGATATTTTTTCTCGCTAAATGATACAATATATCCTCATTGCTATAGGACAGATACCTAAGCTACTTAAAATCAAACCTCTTTCGCCTCCCAACCCTCAACTCATGACATTGTGGCCCGACAATATCGAGGCCTGGCTCTGCTATGCAAGAGCTGACCTTCACGATTACAGATTGACAGACCCATGTTCACAATTCTTTGCAAAAGTGAGAGTGTTCTCTCGTCGTTTCAACGGGTAAGTCGGACGTAGTATGTTTACTAGTGGTGTTTCTGAAAATCACTACTCTTTGAAGAGGGCTATCCTTGAATGTGAAGACCAAACTTACCGAAGAAAGTTAGGTCAAGTCTACCAAACATCGAACTCCAACATGGCTTACCAAAAGATATGTTGCTTCGAATTCGAAAGATATCTGATCAACGGACCTTAGAGGACGGCCTGTTTAGACAGCTCTTCTTGTTCAAGCTTCCCTAGCATGTGCAAGCGAACGAGTTTGTATGAACCGGTTGGTTTATTAGCGCTTGCTTCTTGTTGTCTCGGCACGGATACAGGTCTTTTGTGATGTTCACTGTGTGATTGATTGGACACACGACCACACATATCCTGGTCAGTTTGGTAGTCGTTGGTGAGTTTATATTATCTTATAGTCTAGGTAAGTGAGTCTGATAGCATACATGATCATATATTTTTCATGTTTATAATAACTGAGTCAACTTTCACGCACTGAGATGGGTCTTAATACCCCACAGTTCATGTTGGCTTATTTTTGTCTTTTAATTTTTTGTCTACATCGTCGAATATGTGAAATGTACGTTTGTAGAATTATGGTCTACTATGACATTAGTACTGCTCTTATAATAGACCTAATCCTAAATTTGTAGATTTGTCATGATATAACTGCCCAATCTATAAGATCTTACATGGAAGTCACATCATCTACTACACCAACTCACTGTATCGTATCAATTACCAATACATGATGTAGAACAAGGTTAGGCTAGAGTAAGAACAATATATTTAATATGAATAGAAGATATAAGGTAACATTCAGATGGACCACGCCTGCATGGTCGAGCCATGCCATCCGATCAGCTCCAATTCATTCAATTCATTCTTCGCGCCTTCTCCATTGTTAGGTATTTCTCCGTGTTGAATATTGAATATCTATTTTCTGAGTAGTCTTGTGTTCAGCTTTGAAGATTGTGTGGTTATGGTCTAATGCCACTACACTACTCTCCCACCAGAATCAACCTGATGTTGGCTCGATACCAAATTGGATGGGATCGTCGCGCGCCGGAGGTTACCAAGTATAATAAGGAACCTCCGGGTATTGGTAAGCTGAAAGATAAATCAAAGAAGGCGGCAGCATCTGGTCGGGAAATACATGCAGTAATTTTGAAATATCTGCCTTTATGCTTAAGATGCTTGAAATAAAAATTTGGTTGAAGATTATTTGAACTATAAAAAATGGGATTACAATAATAATAAAACGTTACGTGTTAATAGCCGTTGGTTAATAACTTAACGTATAGGTAGTAAGTATTTTGTGTTTAGAAATATTAAAATAATGAATATTGTAGAAATGTTAATATTGGTATTAGTTTTGGTTTAAATTATGAAATCAAATAACGATTATGCCGGTAAGTTGTCCATATGAATTGATTTCCAATTGCATCTGTATTAGTAGGCTAACTGAAGGAACAGAAGTATACCGTGGAGAAGAATTCCAACTAGTGTTCCAGTTAGTTTGATACGGTTTATTTAGTTACGGGGAGATTTCCTCAACCTCATTTTTACTTGACCGTGATAGAATTTAGTAATACTACTAATACACATGAATGGTTATCAAAATAAAATTTAAATACATGAGTGATAATTATATGATTTTTGGACAGATAGCTAGGAACAAATCGTTAAACATGAGTGTATTCGTTAGAGACATGCTCTACACTCAATGTTCTGCGTTGCCATAGACTATTTATACATATTTATATCTGGCGGCTGATTGGGCATACAAGTTAGTTGCAAGTATGCAGTTTATCATAAGGCGGAATACGATTTAATTGAGATATAGTGGTTATAAGTTATTAAAATCAGTTAAGCCTATGTGTCGTATTACGAAGTGATGTGGTGCTGCAAGATGTATTTAGCTAAATAAGTTTTTACAAGATGATTAATAGTGAGTGATGCTCATGTGATTATCAGGGAGAACATAAGTTGTAACCAGGGGGAGTACACTCCCAACTCATGTCTATGATAATGGCTTGAACCTTAGTCAGTGTTGGGGTAAATTCGACATTGATGTTTTCAGTTTGCAGGAGATTTGCTCGACTGCTTATACTGATTATTTGCATGCATGATTGTGTCGCTAAACCATCAATTAGACTGACAAGGTTTTGAGATATTTACTGAATGAGCAACTGATAGAGAATCATACTGTAATCATCTGTGATGGATGAAGATACCAAGAAAACAACACCATTTAATTTTAAGTCAATTCGCTGACCGATTTTGTTAATAGTTTCATTAATTTTATCAATCATATTACGTGATTGTCAAGTCTTGACAATGTTTTATGACGATATCCTGAAACTATTAAATTTAACTATTCAATCCTTGATTGCATTGTTAGTCAATGTATATTTACGCTATTAACAGGTCATATTTGCTAGAGCTTGATGTTTAAACAAGACTATGTCGCTGAAGCATGTAAATGCTATTAAAGCTTGTTAACGAACCATCAAAGCTAATTAGTTGATATAGATGATCAACTTTTATTATCGATTGAGCTATTAAGTTATAAGAACTAATAGATATAACATTACGATAATATATGTGACCATTAATCAAAGGACTATTAGAATACTGGATTTACAAAAATAAAAACCGATTGAGAAGGTTAAGGTGGAAGTAAGGATTAACAATAATAGGTTGCGTTTCTTTAGTTGGGCTCACCAATGTAGAATTATGATCTACTATGACATTAGTACTGCTCTTATAATAGACCTAATCCTAAATTTGTAGATTTGTCATGATATAACTGCCCAATCTATAAGATCTTACATGGAAGTCACATCATCTACTACACCAACTCACTGTATCGTATCAATTACCAATACATGATGTAGAACAAGGTTAGGCTAGAGTAAGAACAATATATTTAATATGAATAGAAGATATAAGGTAACATTCAGATGGACCACGCCTGCATGGTCGAGCCATGCCATCCGATCAGCTCCAATTCATTCAATTCATTCTTCGCGCCTTCTCCATTGTTAGGTATTTCTCCGTGTTGAATATTGAATATCTATTTTCTGAGTAGTCTTGTGTTCAGCTTTGAAGATTGTGTGGTTATGTTCTAATGCCACTACACGTTCCTCGAAATATGACATTTTATATCTACGTTGTCATTGAAGGGATTATTCTGTAGAGTTCGCATAAATTATATAACATGTAAATTCCATCAAAAATGATACCATTTAATCATAATGGAATTGGACCAAGGGGACTAGAGGCAGTATTAAGAACTCGGGATAGCTAGGAAAACTTGTGTGAAGTTTGTGATTGTGTACATATGGTTTTTGCATCAAATATCACAATTTTGTCTGGCATACTGCGAAATTCTGATTTGAATACAATAAATTCACAAATATACACTGCCTTAAATTTTACTTTTATTTTGGTCTAGGCGGGATTGATAAGGCACTTAGTGGATGGCTCTGGGGACCACTAGCTTGTATATCACATATGATACTACTATAATTGCTCAACACGGTAGTCCTTATCTGGATTACAGGGCATTAACACAAGAAAACTTTCACAAGCACTCCAGTCAGTAAATACGCTTGCTGCTCTACATAACCTTATCGTATTCGACATACTCATTCTCTTATGCCTTTTACACTACTTGGAGAAGCACAGGCGGCCGACTAGGATCCTCTAACCAGCCTCGTTCTTGGCTCTCCTTCCCAGTTTTTTCTAGTTGGTATTTA